TAGAAGCAACAGCACTCAGGTCATTTTTAGAACAAAAAGGGAGAAATGGCTCAGCAGGTAAGAGTACTTGCTGCTCTTCTAGAGGACACAAGTTCCATTTCCAGCACCCACACCATCTATAACTCAAGTTCCAAGGGATCCAGTAACCTCATTTAGCCCACAAGGACACCAGATACACATGCAATGCACATTCATACATCAGGCAAAACATGTGTACATCTGAAATAATAATTAAAAAAAAAGAATGTGGTCAGATAGGGTGGGAATGTCCTACAGCAGGAGTTCTGCCTGTCCATGTTCCTGTGCATGCTTTAGATGGACAGGAGGATGCTATACTGCACTGGTCATCTGGTCCAAATGGAATCTGACCCCAGCAACCCAGATAAATGAGAATCTAACCACAAGTCTTCACTGGCCAGGATGTGCCTGTCCTTGGGAAACACTGGTTCTTTACAAACAGATTTTATCTCCAACATTCTTGTGTTAAAGTGTTTTGTTTTGCAAACAATAGGTTGTAGTTATTGTGCGTATTTAAAAGATCCATGAAATTAAAATCACCAGGAACCACTGATACAGGTCAAAGCATCCAAGAACAAAGTCTTGGCACATGTACTTGTCATCCCTTTGAAACAGATGTGGTTGTTAGAATAGAAGAATCAATATTTTGTGAATTTAATACTAGTATTTATTACTATATCTCATATTTTTATTATGTTAAATATATAGTTGCTTCTTGACTCAAAAAACAAAACAAAACCAGGCTGATTAGATGGCTAGGAAGGTAAAGGTGCTTGCTGACACACCTGAACACCAGAGTTCAATCCCTGGGACTCACAAGATGGAAGGACAGAACCAACTCTGCACGTTGTTTTCTGAGCTCCTCATGTGTGTGTACACATACACACTCACAAATAAAATAAATGTTAAAACAAATGGCTGCGCATGATGACTCACGTCTTTAGTCCCAGCACCCAGAAGGTAGAGGCATGCAAGTCTCTGGGAGTTTGAGGCTAGCTTGTTTTAAATAGTGAGTTCTAGGACAGCTAGAGCTATATAGTGAGACCCTGTCACCTTGTCTTGAAAAGAAAAAAAAAAGCAGCAGCAGCAAGCTTGTAGAGCTCTGCCAGCCTCTGGTTCTATGACTCTAAAACACAGTGCTCTAGGGAGCCTCCCATGTGAGCTGGTGCACTGGTGCTGGGCTTTCTGCTCCAGTTTTCTTTTGTATACTATTATGAGAAATTAAAAGCACTTTTTAATTTAAAAATTTTCTGGTCCTACAACTATAAAATGTGAATAGAGAAAATGTTAATTTGCAAACAAACCAAACAGCATCAGCACAGTAGTTAGGTCAAGCTAAGCTAGCTAATTTGGGATTCTATCACTTTCCTGTTAGCTCTATATGACCGACAGGTGGTGTCTCCAGACCTCAGTTTCTTCAGGAAACAGAAAGAATATTCCTGTGAGTATACATAGAATTGTTAAATTATTCAATTAGTTAACAGGTAAGAAATGCTTCAAGCAGTGCCTGGCACCAATAGAGCTCAGGAAACATATATTTCCTACAGTCAGAAGACACTGAGAGCACACTAACCTTGACTAGCCACCTCCTGCTGAGGTCCTTTCAGCAGACCTCACAAACTCCCCTTCCTACTGGTCAAACGGTACAGGTAACAAAGTGTGACTGGGGAAACAATTACTCTGGGTTCTTGCTAGTTCTCTTCAAATGAAACCCAACCACTTAGTCCCACACAACCTACCATGCCACTGAGCTATGACTACGGGTTATGACTTTCAACTGTCTGCTTGCACACTGGAGGTTTTGACAACCTGTAGTATTGGAGCTCCAACACTTGGGCAGCCTCTCGAGCATCCTGTTTCTGAAAGCCTCTGCCTTGCATGCTCCAGTAACTGCTGGGTGAACAGAAAAAAAATCAAGCAGGATTTGCCAGAGAAAGACTTTGAAGATCCACAGAAATGTACTTCAAATGAAACAGCTTCACTGGGGACATGGAATCACAGTAGCAGATCTACCTAGGGGGCCTAGTGAGCATCTAGAGTCTTTTTGAAGATGGTAGGAGCAAACTGTGCCAAGTGTGGAATATGGGCCTGTGGCTGTGAATCACAGGCAGGGATGCATAGCTGGTAGGAATCTGTGGCTTCACAGCAAATGCTCAGTGACTGCCACCTTCAACTACAAAGGATCAGGTGCGATTCTCTTTACATCTGCATCCTTCACCTGGTTATTTATCTTACTGTCTAAAAATGGAAAATGGTGAGGCTCATTCACAAAGGGAAAACACTCAACGAGACTATTAAATTTTGTACTGAGCCATATGACAAGCAATCTCCTCTCAATCCTCTTTGTACTCTATCACAATAATAATAATAATAATAATAATAATAATAATAATAATAATAATAGTAAAAAAATATAAAAACCTGTAGCACAAATAATAACCCAGAGACAGCTATTGGGATTCAACCTGAAAATCAAAGCAACCAAGCCACTAGAGAAGTCTTACCTCTACCAAGGCTGAGCCGACTGCAGACTAAGTAGATTAAGCAGCTTGAGTCTCTCTTTCCTCCTATTTTATATTCCCTCTAGTGCTGGGATTAAAGGCATAACTACCTTGTACTGGGATTAAAGATGGGGCACCACCACTTGGATTTGTTTCTGCATTGATCTTGTATAGACCAGAGAGGCTTTGAACTCACAGAGATCCTTCTCCTCTGTCTCCTAAATCCTGGTATGAAAGGTGTGTGCCACCACTGCCTGACCTCTAGTGGCTTAGCTTTGCCCTTCTGATCTTTAGGCAAACTTCCTTTATTAAAACAAATAAAATATCACTACATTTCACTTTTTGTCTAAAATAAAAAAGGCTATAACTAATATTAGAAAAACTATATACAGTAAGTACAATAGCTATATACAAGCAATAAGTATATCAACAATGTCTAGTCCATCTGTATTTGACAAATTATGAGAAAATACTCCATATCTTTCCTATCTTGGTGAGTCCAAAGTCTTGTACCTAATTTATCTTCTATCATAACCCCCTTTCTCTGTCTGGTCAACAAGGAAATCTGTAATTATCCGGTCTTCAACTCCCTCAGAGACCTGACAAAGAATCACTATTAACTGAGCAGGCAGGAGGTGTGAGTACCACTTACTGACTTCAGCAAGAGGTGACAAGCAATGGGAGAGACATCAAAGACAATCTGAAGGACGGAAAGCTGGCTCCGTGACAAAGAGCAGCACTTGCTACTCTGCCTGAGGATTTGAGTTCTATTTCAAACACCCACATAGTAGCTCACAACCACCTATAACTCCAGTGCCAGGAGATCCAATGCCCTATTCGGGCGACCATGAACACCAAGCACACACATGCTAAACAGATACATGTAAACAGCACACATACACACATTTTCAAAGGTACAAAAATACTGTAAATAAAAAGAAAGAAACTCAAAAGCAGGGGCACAGTGCTACACACCTGCTTCCCAGCACTGGGGTGAAGGTTGGAGGATCAGAAGTTCAAGGTCACCCTCAGCTCCATAGTGAGTTCAAGGCCAGTATGTCTCAAAAAAAAAAAGAAAGAAAGAAAGAAAGAAAGAAAAAGAAATTTAAGAGGGACTCTTTTGTTCAATGAGGCTGCCATGCTCTGAACCAAAAATAGCTATCTTTAAAGAAGAAAAACTACATACATCCTGCACAGACAGAATCTCTTTTTTTTTGGTGGTGGGAGGGAGTAGGGTGGGTAGTATTTTACTATGAAGCTGTAAGAGGTTTGGCCTCTAATTCATGATCCTTCTTCAGACTCCTGAGTGCTGGAAACTGGTGCATGCCACCAGCAGATGGCACAAGCTGAGGGAGAACTATTATATATAGCCAGGAAATGGCTGTTTATTCATATACACCATAAGATATGCAGTAAGAGTTGGAGGTGGATAACTCTGTTCTCACAGTTGAGCAACACACTCTAAGAGAAAAGAAACTAGGTTAAAACAAAAACTTTCATAAAGAATCTTTTGCCCTCAGCACTAGCCTTCCCTAAGATGGGCTAACTCCCAAAGTGCAACATCACAGAGTGATCCCATGGAGATGATGTTTACCAAGTACTTACTGTGTTCTAGGCATTACTGTGCATTTTTCATATGGACTAATTAATCCTCAGCATCATCATATTATAAATATTTTATTGTCTCTAACTTTAAGCTGGAGAATTGAAGCTCAGAGATCAACTTGCCCAAGCAAGCTAAAAACAACTGTCCCAAAGCTCATGTTTTCAACCACTAGGCCATGGTCTCAACTGTGGGTCATGACCCCTTCAGAGTTGTCAAATGACCCTTTCACAGGAGTCGCATGTCAGATATTTTTTACATTATAGTTATGCAAGAGCAACAAAAATGATTTTATGGTTGGGGGTCAGCACAACATGAGGCACTGTATTAAAGGGTCACAGCATTAGGAAGGTTGGGAACCAGTGCTTAGACAGAGAAGAAAGCTGTCCTAATCTAATAAATGATGCATAAACTTCTAGACTCTGGTAGGGACCTAACATTCATGGACAGTTTTGGTTATCTAGAATATCTGAATTCTAGACAATAAAAATACATGGGCTTTTGAAATTCTACTTGATTACTGCCTGACACACATCTGCAGTTGCTCAAGTGAACAAGATCCCCATGGTGAGCCTGTTGTCACAGCAGCTGCAGTATTTGGAGAAAAAGAAGGGTGGGTAATTATTCTTGACAGGCCACGGCAAGTGCAGTCTTCAAACCCCTTTTCAGTATTCTTGCTGGTCTCAAGGTCCATTTTATCTTTAAATACGACTGTACCGCCTCTCAATTTATGGTATGAAAAATGTGTCAGGATGGACGCTGGGAGCAGAAGTTCAGAACACCACTAAGATACAGATCATAATTAACCAAAGACAGGCTAGTCATACCATCAGGAATGATTCTCATTAATAAGATTTTACCACAGCATTGTTCCTTACCCATTAAACAGTTTTTTTCCCATCTTCTTCCATATTATCACATAATCATTGGCTGGGTTTTCCTTTTCTCTATTACCTATAAGGGAAACAATCTATGAGTCTGGGCTGATACATGGCAAGAAAAAAAGCAATTTCATACATTTTATTTATAAATTCAGAAAAGGATTAATATATTACAACAGTGAAATCCCTATAACCTTTTTGACACTGACATTTTAAAAAATAGAAAAATATGATCCATATTTCAGCTAAGAACAACCAAAGATTCAGTCATTTACAGGGAAAATGAGTCATAAACACAAGCATTAAAGGATTAAAGCATTCCTCACTGGGCGATGGTAGTGCACACTTTTAATTCCAGCACTTGGGAGGCAGAAGCAAGTGAATCTCTAAGCTCGAGGCCAGCATGGTCTACAGAGTGAGTTCCAAGATAGACAGCCAGGGCTACAAAGAGAAACCCTGTCTCAAAAAAAAAAAAAACCTAATTAGTGGTGGTGATACATGCCTTTAAGAGACAGGTGGGGGCTGGAGAGATGGCTCAGAGGTTAGGAGCATTGCCTGCTCTTCCAAAGGTCCTGAGTTCAATTCCCAGCAACCACATGGTGGCTCACAACCATCTGTAATGAGGTCTAGTGCCCTCTTCTGGCCTTCAGGCATATACACAAGACAATATTGTATGCATAATAAATAAATAAATATTTTTTAAAAAAAGAGAGACAGGTGGATCTCAGAGTTCGAGGCCAGCTTGGTTTATAGAGCAAGTTCCAGGACAGCCAGGACAGTTACACAGAGAAATTCTATCTTGAAAAAAAAAAAAAACTAAATAAATATAAAAAAAAGGTTTTCTTCTGAAAATAAATGGAGTTCTAAAGCATACACACTATCTTTACATAACTTAAAACTGTCAGAGCTGAAAAATCATGCTAAAGAAATACTCGAGTATCAAAAGCTAAACTTATTTATGCATAAGTGAAATGCATAATGGTTCAGAGAAGGTGTGAGACAATTCCTTTGTGTTATGACCAATATGCAAGCAGCAAGTATCTTTAAAGCAACATACTCTATACACAGAATATTATACTAAGCAAAGATAACTAGAGTTTATGAGTTCAATAAATTACAGATGTAATCTTTTTTTAGACTTCTGACACTTTATTGGGAATTTAGTAAAACATGATTGGTGTATTAGCTGCTATATAACAGGATGGAAAATTCTCCCTTTTATCAGCCTAACAGTGAACACAGAATTCCTCTTGAAAGAAACTTTCTTTGCGAAAATATGCACCCTTGATATGGGGCCCCAACCTCTCAGGTCCAGTCCCCCTAGAGTGGGTGGTTCCCTGAAGAATGGCTGTCAAGATCCCAGAATAGCTGTCAAGAAAAGGAAATTGCTCTGCATTCTTCAAGGGGAAGAATTTGTTGTTTTATCTCAAAAAGGGACTGAGAGAAGAATGATGAGCGGGACAGAGAAGAAAAGAGGAGCTAGTACAATAGGGCAAAGCTAGGATTGGGTGGAGGTGAAGAGCTCAGGCCAGGGACAGCTGAAAGTTGTCTGCATTAATGCAGAGCGAGGCTCTCTCCCTTTCTTTAGTTAGGTATACAAATCCACAATGTGCTCTATGAATAGAGCCTTTCTGAAAATCAGAGGCACCAAGTTTTACATCTGGGTGCAAAGGTGCAAATCAGTATACAGGGCAAGAAGGTCTGGCCCCACATGGCAGAAAAAGTTGCAAGACCATGAAACTCACAAATGCTCTTAGGGAGAGCTTTTATCTACTATATATATTATATGTGCAATACTTACACAGACAAACCACCCCAAAACTATGAATGGAGCCTCAAATTTAAACAGTATCCCTCTCTCCCATCCAAACCTGATTTCCAAAGTAACAAAGCCCCAAAAAAACTAATTACAGTTAAGACCAAGTAATTTTAATTTAATTCTAGATGCCTCTCCTAAGCTAAGTATGTTAACCACGTTCATACTCAATAGCATGTAGGATGTGTAACCACATGGAAATTATGCTTAACATCCTATATTTGATCTTGGTCAAACGACCATGCTGGGTGTAGTGGCACATGCCTTTAATGCCAATGCTTTAAAGGCTGAACAGGTGGCTCTCTGAGTTCAAGGCTGTATGGTGCTAAGTATAGAACTGAATACTGAATACTGAATCTAGGGCTTTGCTCATCAGGCAAGCTCTCTACCAATAATGCTGTATCCCTAACCTATGACCTACACTTTTCATAAGAGAAGTCGAGGATGTAGCTCAGTGATAAAGTGCTTGCCTAGCATGCTCAAGGCGCTTGGTTCGAATTCCAGCACCACAAATTGGTGTAGGAGGTCCTTCTGTCTCTGTGTTGCTTTCATTGGTTAATAAAGAAACTGTCTTGGACTGTTGATAGGGCAAAACTTAGGTAGGCGGGGAAGATGGAACTGAATTCTGGGAGGAAGAAAGCACAATCAGAGAGACGCCATGGATTGCCTACCAGAGTCAGATGCAGAACCTTGCTAGTAAGCCACAACCATGTGGTGATACAGAAATGGGTTAAATTAAGATGTAAGAGTTAGCCAATAAGAAGGCAGAGCTAATGGGCCAAGCAGTGATTTAATTAATACAGTTTCTGTGTGGTTATTTCGGGTATAAGCTAGCTGGGTGACCAGGGAACCAACAAGCGGTCCTTCCTGTTACAACAAATCACAAATGAGGTCTCACTCTGTACTTCATTATATCTAATAAGCCACTAGAAGGATCTGTTTATTTAGGGGGCACAAGAACATGGAAGTTTTAAAAATAGCCGCAGATTTAGAAATCAGGGGGCCTTAGCCAGGCGCTTGGTCAAGGCCCACGCCTTTAATCCCAGCACTCGGGAGGCAGAGGCAGGTGGATCTTTGTGAGTTCAAGGCCAGCCTGGTCTACAAGAGTTAGTTCCAGGACAGGCTCCAAAGCTATAGAGAAACTCTGTGTCAAAAAAAACAAAACAAAAACAAAACAAAAAAAAAAAAACAAAAAGCAAAAAAATCAGAGGGCTTGAGCCTACGTCTCAGGCTTATGAGCTGAGAAGTCCTGGACAATTCATCTATGACTTGAGACCTCTACACTTCCTCCCTATAATGGATATAACATCAGCTATACTCCCAAAGATGCTGCAAAGATCAATAACAAATTGTGTATAAATGCATTACAAATAGACAAGAACTGTACATGTGTGACATTATTCTGGTTAGAGGAGAACCTGGTACTTAAACATTCCAGGAGCTCTGAGCAAACTGGAATGCAAGAGCCAGGTCTTCTAGGCAGAATTCAAAGGATTCTGAAGTGCGTTTGACATTTGGTTCTTTACTTTAGCTATATAATATCTAGTTTTAACCAATAAGCTTCATAGGGACTAAAAAACATAATTAGGTAAGAATTCTAGACTGAGAATTCCTTCTTACAAAAAAAAAAAAACAGCTAAGAGCAAAGGCTTAGTATGATTGTATTCTTCCCAGCCATACTAGTTAAATGTAAATGAAAGCAATACCAAACTGCATCCATAATGAACAGCAGCAGAAGCAGGCACAGCAATCACCTTAGCATGCATCAGAGTTCCCATTTAATCACTTCAGAATTGTAATCCTTTTATATCTCTACATAAAATAAATACTGCTAATCGGTAAAGTCTAATGTTTACATATAGCCACACCATTTTTGAAAAACGGCTTAACAGTTAAGAGCACATGCTGCTCTTCCAGAGGACCTGGCCTCAAATCTCAGCACCTATGCCAGAAGGTCCACAACTACCCATAACTTCAGCTCTAGGAGTCCCAATGTCCTCTTCTGTCTTCCAAGGGTATCCCCCCTCCCCATAAACAAGAAAACAAATAAATTTAAAGTTTTAAAAATGAGAGAGAAGAAAAAGACAGACAGATAAGGAGAGACTCTGACCGAGTAGACAGTGGGCTGGAGAGATGATCTCCATGGTTAAATGGTATGGACCAATCTTTGTACACTGTAAATATGTATTACTCTCATTGCTTAAGAGCTGACTGGTCAATAGCCAGACAGGTAGAGGTTAGGCTGGATGTGCAGACAAAAACAAAGTACAAAGAAAAAGAAAGGAGTCTCAAAGAGAAACAGAGAGAAGCAAGATGAACTTGCCATGTTGAAAAAAGGTACCACCACGAGACAGTGCATAGATAAGAAATATTAGTTAATTTTAAAATGTAAGAGCTAGTTTATAGGGGCTAGAGAGATGGCTCAGAGGTTAAGAGCACTGGCTGCTCTTCCAAAGGTTCTGAGTTCAATTCTCAGCAATCACATGGTGGCTCACAGCCATCTATAATGAGATCCGGTGCCCTCTTCTGGGCAGAACATTGAATACATAGTAAATGAATAAATCTTAAAAAAAAAATGGTGCACAGAAATACATGTAAGAAAAAGCCACCCATATAAATACACACACAATTTTTAAAAAAGCTAGTTAATAACAACCATGATCTATCTGCCAAGTATTTATAATTATTAATGAGTCTATATGTGGTTTTTTGGAAACTGGTTGGCAGGACAGAAATGTTCACCTACAGTTAAGAGCAAAGGCTGTTCTTGGTAAGGACCCAGGTTTGGTTCCCAAGCACCCACGTCAGGTGGTTCATAAGTACCTGTAACTCCAGCTCCAGGGGACCCTCTTCTGGAGTCTATGGGCATTTCATTCACATTCCCAATATCCAAAATTCCCACCTACAGACACACACACACGAAAACTGTAAAGAAGAAACACTAGACATTAGTTTTACAAGCACAGAGTTGCAACTTCAGCAGGGAGGGAACATGCTCACTGTACTCCTCCCAGACATCACTCCTGTTGGAGTGTTTCAAACACATCTGCTGTCATGTATTAAAATGAGATAGGTGTCAAGGATATTTTATAGAACAAAGTAGGGTCAGTCAATGACTAGCCCATGCATGGCCACAGAAATAGAGGCACCTATGGCCAGGTACTTTACTGGTGCATTCCAGTAACTATGAAATATAGTTTACACTGTTGTGCCTATGGTTTGAAATTATTGAACAATGAACCTATCCTTTTCCACAA